AAATATATACTAGGCACCCCTACTCACAAAAAGCTGAAAAACGTGTCATGACGAAGAACCCAATACGAAGAGAGAACAAGCTCCTGCACGTTCCTAGAAGCTCGTGCACATCTATACTTGTCTTGTCTTAAAATAAACTCCACAGGGATTGACAAGTCAAAGACAACCAATTTTTGGACAAAACATAAAATTTGAATTTAATTTAATTCTTCTCTCAAATCTTTTACACACCTTCTGATCAATTCTCAAACTGCCCTAAAGAGTAAAGACAAGACTAAAAATTAAAATTTCCTAACTATTAGGACATGAAGACGGCGATGTGTTCTCTGTTCCACCCAAAAACTGAAGCTCCTTTTTATCATATATCTCCAACGAAAAATCCCTCAGCGTTTGCGTCGCACGACTTGTTTCCATCTGCGGTTCAGCCTTGGCTGAAGCGTTTGAGACGTAACTAGGTACCGGTCTAGTACCAACGTTCAGAATCGATGGAGCAGCAGCACCAACGGTGGGTATGGCCCACATGTGGCCCATTTGACTCGACACACCAGTAACGAAAGGCCAAAACGGCACGAAATTCTGCGTATCGACGTTCATTAGGTTAACGCCGTAATTCGACGCCGTTATCGGAGCTAGACCAGAAGTAACGGAGGTGTCGTGTACGTTAACGTCTACGAACTCACTCGTGCAGTTCCTCTTCCTCCGTTTCCTCATTGGGTCAACGGAGCCGCCGTCGTTCTCAACATGCGGCGGAGAGCTCGGAATCTTTAGAGTTCCGTTGACGGAGACAGCAATCGCCGGTATAGTTCCGGTCCCAGTTGCTTCGATTATCGCCGGCTCAGACTGTTCGAGAAGCCACCGAATGGTTTCTCCGTCGGATTTGTGACCGAGTTCACGGGTCAACTGAAAAACCCGGGCGGCGCAACCGACGGGCATTCGGATCCTCCGACCACGACCCTCTACTTTCGTGTGACGGTCTTTAGACGGCCGTTTTGGAGCCGGTTTGCTCTGTAGGCTGAGCGAATTCGTCATCGGCTCCAAAAATCCAACCTCGCGTTGCCTTATTGGGGCGTCTTCTTCTTTCATTAGCATACCCGGGTTGGTTTCCGGATCCGGGTCCGATAGATTGTTCATGGTTGCTAGCGAGCTATTGTTTTCGTCAATCTCTCGAATCGATTTGCCTTCTTCCATTTCCCAAAACGCTTTAAATCTGAATGTGAACGAAACTTAGATTTCACTAACAATGAAGTAAAACTCAAAATCACTTGAGACAAAACTGCAGAACAAAAAGATTCAATTTTTTTTTTTCTGGAAAGAAGAAAATTTCAGTCGAATAGTCAACTTATTATTTTACTGATAAAGATTTATCTCGAAATTTGACAGACGAAACAAAGAGTTTATAAACAAACCATAAAAAGTCATTTGAATTTTTGTAAATTAAAGAACAGTGAAAAAAGGGGGAAAATTGAACGAACCCTAGAAAGGTAGAGAAGTCCCCACTGCACCTTATCCTCTTCACGAACCCTACAAAGATGGAAGGAGGGCCCCTCAAGATCCTCGTTTGATTTTTATAGTCCTAATATCAAATCGGTGTGGATCACATCTTCGCATATTCGCAAATCAGCTGAGCCATTATGGGCCTCTTTTAATTATTGGGCCTTAGCCAGAACAGATATCTCTCTCTGTGTCCATGAACATTTGAATAATTTAGGAGACGAGTAAATTAGGAACAGATGAAAAATGTTGGAGCTAAGTTTGTAAACAATCAAATTCGAATTATATCTACTTGCAATTTGAAGTAAACCAAATCGAACCGAACCGACCAAAACCGAGCCTACACTACTTCACGGCTCTTGTGTTCAAAGGCATGAACTCCACATCTCACACTCTCCTTCTCCACAAACTCTGAATCCAAAAACCGAGCAACGAAAATCCAGAGCTTATAAACATCTTCGAAATTCGCAAGAAACCCTAACGCGGCAGTGAGAACAGAAATCCCCGGTTCGTTCTTTCTCTTCTCAAGAACTCTGTCTTTCACCGCTTCGTACTCTTCTTCGAACAAGATTTTCTTCAAGAAACCTTGTCCGAGTGAGATATTGCTGCAATCGGCTAGCTTCTGCACGATAAAAGGCTCGATTCTCTCTCCATTTTGGTCTAATAGATTGAATGCTATCGCTGGTCCTCGATTGAAGTTAACCTTTGGACCGTAGATTTTCACGACACGACTACTTGATGAATGTTTGAGTTTGTAGAGAGCACTTACCAACCAATTGATCAAACATCTTGATCTGTTCCCTGTTGCTACCAACCCGAGTGAGTCCACATGATCAAGACCTCTGTATTCGATTCCAGAACTAAAGCTATCATGTTCTTCGGATTCTGTTTGTTCCCGGTTGATTTGCAAAGCGTGTAATGAAATTGGATTGTCGGTAGGTACGAGGTTAACCATACCTGAACCAGAGGAAGATTCAAGAATATGAATGGTGGACTTCTTGACGAACAAGCAACCGAATCCGGAAGGGTTTTCGCCAAACACCTTGTAGAACGAACACACCATGAAATCAGGATTATATATCGAAAGACCGAAGCTGTCCATATCTTTAGGTCCCAAACCGCAAGCGTCGATCATCACATGCCACCCGTTTTCTTGCGCCACACTCATCCAGAGATATGGATACCTAGATCCCGTAACCCTAGAATGAAGTGGAAATACGAAAATACCCTTCTTCTTCTTCTTCTTCTTGCTGCCGTTTTTCCCACCAGTGACCATCTTTCTCAGCTTAGACGAACAGATTCTCAGCCCTGGCCATGAGAACTCCGCTGCAGATACTTTAGCTCCACGTTTCTCACAGACTCTGTTGATTTCATCAACGGCCTCGCTTTCGTAGTCGTAGACCGTCAAAAGCTTCCGTTTTGAGTTAAACGGGTAAGACTCAGCGACGAGCCTGAAAGCAGAAGTTCTATTTTCGGTGAATACCATCGAGTAATCTTCCTCCGAGATTTTGAGAAAATCCATGATTCTTCTCTTCATCGAGTACTCAAACTCTGTTTCTTGACCTCCATCGTTGAGAAGCTTCTCCTTGAAGTTACCGATCTTGGGAGAAACACTGAAGAAGGGACTTTCAGACAAGGAAGAAGAGATCTGGTAAGTGGAAGGGTCGTAGTTGAGTAACTGTGAGTAAGAGTATAAACCAATCCCTATGTAATCAAGACACGTGTAATGTGTTAAACCCAAGTGAAAGTAGTGGTCGGATCTGATGAGGTCGATCTTGTAAGTGTCGGCATAATTAGGGTAAGCTTGGATGAAATCGGAGAAGGATTCTTGAAGGGAAGGGAGAGAATTTGGGTCGGTGAATTTGGTGTCCGGGAAAATGGTGGAGGCGGTGGTTTGAGCGAAATCACGGCGGAGAGTGGCGGAAGTGACGGTATTTTGGGTTGAATCTGGCGGATGCTCGGAGGGGCCACCGCCGTAGAATTGTGAGGACGAGAAGCAACCGTGAAGGCAGTTTGGTGGTGGTGAATCTCCGAGAGATGACCGGTGCATTTCTTCTTTTTACAAAAGATTGATTTGTAAATTGTAATCGTCAATTGTGATGATCCCTTGTATTAAATAACGCTAAAGTCTAAAGTTCTAAAGTAGTGGACGTAAGACAAAAGTAAAATCATGTTTCTATGTTTTTTATATGATTATATATAAGAAAAAGGTGAAATGCATTGGAAAATGTCACCAATACTTTTTTTTTTATCAACTGTAAATTTTATTAAAACTTTAAAAGATACATCTGTAGAATACAGTATTGATACATTTTTGAGATAAATAGATTCGAACAACAAAAACACAAGGAAAAACACAAAAAAAATACCAGATAGAAATCGTTAAAATGCCACGAATACTTAAAATTGAATTTCTCATGTTTTAAGACTTTAAAATATTTATAATAATCTAAGATTTGGTGCGACTGTGTGTGGTGGTGATGGTTTGACAGTAAGAAGGTCCATTCTCGTAGTCTTTTAAGCCATTCTGGCATTATTTTGATATGTATAAAAATCTACAAGCATATTTTATGTTTATTGTTCATCTATACGAGCTTGGCTAAGTCCAAACGTGAATTTCGTATTTTAAGAAATCTTTTACTTAAAGAGTTGAGAAAAATGTAGATATGGTGGTATAATGGTTAACGTTTAGAAATGGTTTAAAGAATATTATTTATTATACTCAGTTTTTGTATTATTAAACGTCTCAAAACTCAATAACCACTCACAATGACTAAGGTTTCGTTGAGCCAGTTAAATTGTGATGGTGTTACGAATGGTATGAGATAATTGTAGTGGTAATGAAAAGATGGAGTGATGTAATGTTTTCTGTTTATTTACAGAAACTATAAGAAAAAAGAAAAAAAGCAGAAGCAAATTAGCCGGGAATAATGATTATTGTCAAGAAAAGTCTGAAAAGTGTGCACTTTGTATTGTTTCTCCAAGTTTTCTTTTTCAGAACGCGTAAATTTTAGTGGTCAATAAAGTGTTTTCTTTTTCTCTTTTGTTTCCTTAGCTATTTACAAATCTTACATGCTAAGATATATATACCACTATGCTCCATTTAAGTTAAAAACAAAAACATCCAATATGTTCTCAGTTCAAAAGTTACATTTCTTATTTGTAATTTACATTATGTAATAAGGTATTTACCTAAATCAGCCATCAAATTATAAAAAAAGGCTACACAATAACATTGATTTTGTGTTGGTTTCGACCCTGCACCACAAACTTCTACTATTATTTAATTTATAACGTTATCATAAAGTGAAATTATGACATTATAATTTATGTCATGCTATGTACTATTTCGTCAAGAGGACGTCAAGTGTGATCGTGGCGATGAGTAAAGCATTACGCGAGCCGAGGATTATTTAAGAAAAGGGTCCAGAGACGAAGAAAACTAAAATTTGGGGGTTGTATAATAAAAAAAAAAAAAGACAATGAAGAAACTTGCACTTGTCAAAACGATGACGTTTAATCGCTTTAACAGATTACAATCGTGATAAACCGTGTTGATAGCGATGATAACCAAATTGAACCGAACCGGTTTTAGATTGGCGTGAGTCCAATCACAAAACTCGAGATTTTTCTTTCCCCTCTTCTACAATCCCTAAACGGACTCTGAGAAAATCAGCCATCGGAATTATATTTCACGACGAGGTTTCTCGATTTTCGTCTACTCTTTTCGATCTAATTCGCGATTTACTTATGTGGGAAGATTGTAATCGAGTTTTGAGGAAGAGTAAATGGATGAAGGCGGAGAGAAGCGTGTTCGTGCCAGTGATAGACTGAGCAACTTGCCAGATTCACTGAGATTCGAGATACTTCTCAATCTCTCCACAAAATATGCGGTGAAGACGAGCGTTCTATCAAGCAAATGGAGAAATCTCTGGCGATTCGTACCTGGTTTGGACTTGGATTTTGGAGATTTCCCGGATCGAAACGCGTTCGTGAGTTTCATTGATACATTTCTGGGTTACAACAGCGATTCGTGCATACAGAATTTCAAGCTAATGTACTTTGGGTACCGGAACGCCCCTGATTTAGCTCAACACACGCGGTGGATTAACAATGTCGTTATCCGGAAGATTCAGCATGATGTTGAGATGCCTCCAAGCGTTTGCACATGCCAGAGCTTGGTATCGTTTAAGCTCTTCAAGGTTACACTGTCTAATCCCAAGGTTGTTTCTTTACCTTCTCTGAAAGATATAGCTCTTGACAGGGTTAAGTTCGCCGACGATTCGGCTTTAGAAACGGTCATCTCAGGCTGCCCTGTGCTCGAAAGCTTAGCTATAGAGAGGAGTTTCAGTGATGAAACTGAAGTTTTAACTGTTCGTTCTCAGTCTCTGTTGAGGTTCAGTTTCGAGGACTCTGGCGAGGATTTCAATGAACATCTAGTAGTTGCAATTGATGCTCCTAGGCTTCAGTATTTGAGGCTCCATGATCACCGAAGCGAGTTTCGTACTAGATAACATGAGCTCCCTTGTGAAAGCCGACATCGGCGCTCTGTTTAACGGGGATCTGGAGGAGGGTTTTGATCCGAATGATCCACAGAGGAGATCTATGATTCGTAAATTTCTCGCTGGGATCTCTGGTGTCCAAGATCTGATCATGTCGTTGGCTACTCTTGACGTCATTTTTGATTACTCAAGATGTGAGTCACTACCTTTGTTCAAGAACCTATCTTTCTTGCAAGTTGTGTTCCTTAGCTACAAGTGGGAGATGTTGCCAATCATTCTTGAGAGATGCCCCAATCTAAAGTCTCTTGACGTGGTGAGGAATTGTCCACTAAACCATAAAGTTTCCCTATCTTTAAGATGCAAAGCTTAACTTGTGTTTCCTGCACTCGGTTGTGTATTGTATGTGCAGTGAACTTGTTACTACGAGGAGAAGGAAGGGATTCTATTTTGCCTGAACCTTGGCGTGTCCTACAATCTCTCGAGTATGTCAAGATAGAAAGACCATTTGAAGGGGTGGCGGTGAAGCTAGTGAGGTACTTACTTGAGAACTCAATGAACCTCAAGAAACTCACTCTATGCTTGAATGATTTCAAAAAGTACTAAGAATCTGTTGTCCTCAAGGAGCTTCTTACCATTCCAAGACTCTCTACCTCATGCCAAGTGGATGTTCTTTGGTCCTAGTCATTGACTATGGACATACAAAGGCTTTTCTGTTAGTACTTAAGAGTTTATGTGAACGCTTATGCTTCTTCTTAGTTTATGATGTCCTGTAAACCCTGTGATCATATGTTTTGGGTTATATTAGCAATCACTTCTTTTGACTGTGAGTTGGGTGTTTAAGCTAAATAATAAATCATTCTCGGAGTAGGAAAGATAATATATTCCGAAATTAAAGGCTTCATTGGTTGCTTTTTTACATTCTGTACACAGCAATTTTTGGGCCGCTCAAATATGTACCAATCATGTTTTATCTTTTGTTTTCAAGTCTACAGTTCTTCTTTAGTTTCTGTCTTTTTTAAGTTTTTAGAAAGTCAAAAATCTACAGTCCAATTTCGTGGGCTCTTCAAACTTTTAAATTTTTATCTTTCTCAAATTTAATTCAAAAACAATTTATGAATAAGAAACCCTAATTATAAACTTATAAATTAAGAACAAAGTAAAACCCTAGATGCGTACAACCATAATATTATTTGTGATAAATTATTTTGATATATATTATTTATTTTAAGTATATAATAATAATATTTTTGTATTTATTATATATATATATTATTAATTTACAGCTATTGTATACCAATTATGTTTTTACTTAAAAAATTATAAATTAAATTCTACAGCCAAAATCCTACAGAATTAAAATCTAAATCTACAACAAAAACTTACAGCACTAATTCTACAGTAAAAGATATAAAGTTATAGCAGTAACTAATCAAGTCCTAAATCATTAAGATAATATATACCATTACTGAGATTGATAAGATGAAAACTATACTAAACTCTTGGCTTAAGCCTCTTTCCTTAATCAAAATCAGTTTTGAGATCAAACATTTGAGTCCACTTCCCGAATGATATCACTTAATTCTTACACGTAAAAGAAAAATGTATAAGATAGAAAGTTCTCTCAGATCTGCTTGATTAATTGTGTGAATGATAAAAAAAATAGCAACATGAAAAATCTATGTACCATTTACTTTCTAGGGATAAAGAAGTAGATAGCTAAGTTTGGCGTTTTTATTAGGAAAATAGCAAGAGACTTATGCGCTAAAAGGAAATAGCTAAAAAATGCTGAAAAAATTTTTGTTGCTTCAATTAATTATCTATCCTGCCATTGACCGCGCGTGGTTCTCTTATTGAATTAAGTGGATATGGATAAATATATATTTGATTATTTACAGTGTCCTGGAAACTACCTCCAATGATAATATGTTATATTATACTCAAATTATATTATATAATTAATGTTATATCATATTATACATAGCTACATACATATGGAACATCTATACACTAATACTAAAGTTAATAGATTATCTAATAAAATTAACAAATTAAATGAAATACTATAGATATAGATTTATATTAACATGATATAAGAAATAAAAAAAATATTAAAAACATGTAACTTGACATTTAAAATATATATATATGTATTTATTATATTAGACCTATATATAAATTTATAGATATAGCTTACCTAATAAAATAAATAAGTTACTTTGTTAAGATTACATATAACTTTATATTTAATAATATAGACATATATTGATTATTTTAGACCTTTATATAAAATTATAGATATAGATTACATGAAAAAAGAAAGAAGTTAACATGTTAAGAAAACATATAACTTTACATTTTATTATATATACATGTATTTATTATTATGTAGGAAACTAAATGATATTTATTATTTTAGATATGTATATTTATATATAGTGTGTGATTGTATAAACAATTAAAAGAGAGTTGAAAATACCGAAGATAGATCCGACTTCTCCAAAATGTTCAGACATCAAATCAAAAAATTTGTTTGATAAAAGATCGGATTGGGCAAGATTCTTCACCTTCACCCATTTTTCTTTTGGAATCTCACTAGATATGCTAAATTATTGAGATCTAGAGATGAAAGTAAGAGATTTGGAGAGGAAGATCAAGAGAGAGAATATATGTATATATATATATATATAAATATCAAAAAGTTATTGGTAGAGAGAATCAAGAAATTGTTGGCTGAAAAAGATGAAAGCGGTGTTGGAAGAAGATGAAAGTGGTGTCGCAAAAGTGAATTGGAATGACGTGTTAATTAACAGAAGAATACGTTGTTATATATGTGTCTGTGTATTTAATTATTAATTTTTGATAGATACTACTTAGACATCTATTAATAATTTTGGATGTGGATTTTTCTGATAAGAAGTTGAATAGTGTGTGAGGGTAAAACGGAGAAAAAACATGGTCAAATATTTTAATGCTTGGACTCTGAAATATTCTATGTTAATTAGTTAATTTACTACCGATTCTTTGCTATTTGTTGGTATTTCCTTACTTTTTAACCCCTTAATTTTCATTTTTTTTAATCCTACAAGTTTAAACTTTTTTTTTTTATCCAGACATGTTTAAACTATTTATATGCTAATGTTATAAAGAAAAGGGAGTAACAAAAGGAAAATTTGAAAAATATAATCACAAATATATATGATAGCTACAATGTTATAGATAATAGAAATATCATATAACAAATATATATAAAAAAAAAGAAGAGAAAAGTGAGGTATTTTTGTTCTGTCATTTTTTCCTTAAGTAAAGAAACGAAGTTATAAAATTTAATTATATAAATCAGATAAATCATAGTGTTGTAAAAATGACATAAAATAGATATGGGCGCCAACTACTTCAAAATCAGTTCTGATTCTACCTAAGAGTTTTGTTTTTCCCCAATTACCGAGAATGCTTGTAAACATAAACCGTTTAAAAAAAAAAAAAGAATCTATACTAAATAAAAGGAACTATTTGGGGCTCCTTAAGCTATGCATCTCAGCTTTTCAAACTACTCTAAAAGTATGACACATCAGCAAAAAATAATAATATATATTTTCACTTTAGATTTTTTTGGAATACACATAAAGTAAATAAATAGAACCAAAATTAATATAGTTAAATACAAGAGTAAATAAAAATAAATTATTATTTTTTAAATCAGTAAAATAAATATTATTTAAATCTATAGCATCAATATATACTCTTTTGTTTGTAATATAACAAATTAGCAGTAATAAAAATTCTCACTTTAGATTTTTTGAAATACACATAAATAAATAAATAAAACCATTAAATTAATATAGTTATTAGCAAAAACTAAATAAAACTATATATCATTTTAATCAGTAAAATAAATATCATTTAAATCTGTAGCATTAATATATACTCATTTTTGTCACTAAAATTAATATAGTTACCAACAAAAATAAATAAAATTAAAATATCATTTTTTGAATAAGTAAAATAAACATTATTTAAATTTATAACATCAATATATACCTCTTTTGTTTGTAATATAACAATAATAAAAAATTTCACTTTATATCTTTTGAAATACACATAAAATAAATAAATAGAACCACTAAGTTAATATAATTATTAGGAATAAGTAAATAAAACTAAATATCATTTTCTAAATCAGTAAAATAAATATCATTTAAATCTGTAGCATTAATATATACTCATTTTTGTAATATAGTGAATATATTGGACAATAAATTGCTCTAAAAAACTTAAATAATAGTTAATAGAAACAAGATTACAAAATAATAATTTCTAAAATAAAATTTAAAACATTTGCAAATTGTAAAAATTTAAAACATTCACCTTTTAGAAACATACAGATTAAACATCATAGTACGTTAGATTTATGGCAACCAACAAGGCAACATAAATTATAGGAAGCTTTTCAAAGCATCTATCTATATGAAGATTTCGATCATTGTTACTATTTACATTGCAGAAAATGATAGACAAAAGAAGAATTTTATGCACTGATATTTATTCAATGTGTGTCTTAGTTGGCTTAAGGTAGTCAAGTTATTACAAGCGATACATGTCAACACATGAGTTAAACAGTTTATAAACAAAAATTAAGTTTTAAATGACAGTTAATTTTTATATATATCAAGTTAGTAAATTCTTAAATTAAATAATTATGCATTTTTGAAAAAATAACATACACATTTTTATGTAGAAGAAAATGTCTAAAAAAATCTTTAATTATCCACATCAACAAAATTCCTTATAAACCCAACTTGAATGAAAAACTAATATGGTTTTTTTACTGGGTTAAGAAACTCCTTTAAAAATAATATAATATATATTATTAGTTTAATTATAAAAGCTCATCAAAATATATATGTGTAATTTAAGAAAAAATGTTTAAGTTAAATTACAAGCAAAATATTTTACATCTTTTGAGTTTTGAGAAACTCGACATACTTTATTTAACATAATGAGTTAGTATAAAATTATATTTGTATATGTATTATTTGCCTTATTCATCTATATTTTTTTTTATAGTTTACGTATACTTCATAGACCAAATCAAAATTGCATTTTATCAATATGATTGTGATTTTTTATACTATGTAAATATTATTTTTATTTATATGAATCATAGTTATTTTATAGATTTATAAGAGATTAGAACATTGAGTGTTGTTTGTATTTGAGATTGCTAATTAAATAAAAATACTACACGAACACAATTGAAATAAAAATAAAAATCTAGATTAATTGGAACAATAATAATCAAATTTAGTCAAAACAAAAATAATTTTAATAATATTTTGAAAGTTAGTAGTGAATAACAGTGAGTTTATATACAAATATTAAGTTTTAGATTAACAGTTAATTTTAGCATATCAAGTAGCTAATTCTTAAAATTATACATTTTTTTAATATGTTAAAATATTTTCGATGTATAATCATATCAAAACAATTTTAAAAATTAAATATTATATTTAAAATATTAACTTAAAGTGAAAATAATAAAATTTAAATAATAATCAAATATCTATATAAAAACAGTCCGTGCGTAGCGCGGAAACATCCCTAGTCTATTATATAAAGACTCAGTTGAGTCTCACAAGGTGATGACACCTCAGCACCTCTCTCTCTGACACATTGGCAAAAAAAAAAGTAGAAAAAAGTTTTTCGTGAAGAAATTATTTCAGTCAAACAAAAATGATTCCCCCGAAACCTTTTCTCACACAATTTAAAGCTTTCAGATCGTTTTCATCCGAGTTAGGTTACACGCCTGATTTAAGGTTTGTCGGCAAAGCAGTTCCCTTCACTTCAATGATGCGAGTACAATCATTTTCGTTTTCATCCTGTTTTCAGAAAATGTCGATACTTGTAGAGAACAGCCAAGTCTCTCCCTCAATAAATCGCCATGTTTGTCCTCTCTTCTTCTCTTAAAGTAATTAAATAACTCTAAAAATGATAATGGATTTAGCTAAAATCTAATTGGTATAAGTGGTTGCTTTGTCTTGATGGATTCAATCCAAATTTCTTCTGAGATTTTGCAATTAAGTTTTCTATGGAGAGAAAAAGGTAACAAAAATGCATCATGTCAAGTTTACAGTTTTGAATTAAGATTGGACTTTAGTAGTACACATCATGCTAAGTTTCATTTCCTTTTTATTATGTTCGTTATATACATTGACATGGAGGTGTTTTGCTGCTCAGAAACAAGTATTACATTGTAAATATACCAAGGAAAAAAATTCCAAAAACGATTGATAACGATATACCGGTTATTGACAAATCTTTTGGGTTTGACACTGCTGTGGAGGAAGCTCAACGAGCAATCAACGTAGCTAATGTTGAAGCAGAGAGTAATAAGAATGGTATCGATTTTGTTAAGCTTATGGGTCGTTACAGTGGTAAGCTTTTCTCTTCCTGTGTGTTTTGCCTTGAAACATTACACTTAAAAACCTGTTATTCATAAAAGGCTATGTCATGATTTCCTACAGGATTCATAGTGATGTATGCTACATTAGCCAGTAGAGATGTTGATTGCTGCCTGATTCCCGAGTCACCATTTAACCTCGAAGGAGAAGGTGGACTCTTGGAGTTCATAGAGAGACGGCTCAAGGAACATGGTCACATGTTGATTGTTCTTGCTGAAGGAGCAGGACAAGATTTGATGTCCAAAAGCATGGAATCTAATACTCTCAAGGACGCGTCTGGTAATAAACTTCTTAAAGATGTCGGCTTCTGGTTATCACAAAGCATCAAGGTATATAAAACAAGACTCGAACTTTCTCTTATGCCATTACAGAAAACTCATCAGTGTTTTTAACGTTTTTCTCTCTGGTGATAGGATCATTTTAAGAAGACTCAGATGGTGATGAATCTCAAATGCATTGGTAACAAAATGATAACCCTTTTACTCCCCCGTTTTTAATTTCAGATATTTGGATTTACTGTTTTTTTGTAAACTCATTTCTCGTTTCTCGATTTTTAGATCCAGCATACATGATCCGGGCTGTTCCAAGCAATGCATCAGACAATGTCTACTGTACACTTCTTGCTCAAAGTGTGGTTCATGGCGCAATGGCTGGTTACACTGGCTACACCAGTGGTCTTGTCAATGGAAGACAAACATACATCCCTTACTACGTAAGTTACTGAAATAGATCAAATGCATTTTTGCTTTAATCCCGAGTTTAGACTTGCGGGACGGATCTGACTGTTGATTAGGGTTGTTGCAATGGATTAATCTGGTTCGACTTGACGGAGGCTGTGATTTGATCCTTTTTTGTTGTTGCAGAGAATAACAGAGAAACAGAACAATGTGGTGATTATGTTCCGGAAAGTGGGATTTAAAATAATGTCGTACTTACCTTTGGGTGAGTCGTACTATATTAAGAATGAAACAAATGTCTCATTTTATACGAATTAACAGTTTCTTTACGTGGACATGACTACCAGATATCCATGGTGTTTTCGACGGAGTCATCGAGAATATGTATTTGCATTGGAAACACATAGAATTGGCGAAGCTTATTTCAAAATAGAAGAGTCTTGTAGTTCTCGTAGACACACCTGGGTTACTAGAATACCAGAGCGGTGAAGTTCTTGTGGCAATAGAAAAGTTTCTTAAAGAATTTGCCATTATTTACTACCGTGCAAAGAATTACCAGAGATCAGTTAGCTTGAGACCAAGAAATCTTCTCACAAAAGCAAAGCATTGAAGCGTTCCATTGCAATGCAACGCCATGAGGTTCGAAATTCCTGAAACTTCTCCACACAAATTGCATTTTGTATTCACAACTCGGTCGCAGCTTGCTTATGGAAACTTCTCTTTGTCGATTATTGCAGGCACGTAGCCATCATATCTCTGAACTGGAAAAAACATTAGAGAAAATGAAGAACGAACTTGTAAGTGGTGGCTTCCTCAACTGGGGACTTTCTGTCTAATACACTTTTAAGATCTTCTTTACTTCCCAAAGCAAGCATGCTGTGTTCACTTAATTCACTTATTGTTTCTTGCAGCCTTCCAAAAACCTGTCATACAATGATCTGAATGGGAGAACGATGAAAATGGTGATGATGACGAGGATGAGAAAGATGATGCAGAGGATGATGAGAGTGATTGGGATGAAGCTGATGGTGAAATCCCTAGCAAGGAATATTCATCATCGATTATTCATTATGGTCATCTTCTATTGATAAAGTTTGATGTTTCTATCTTGGTAAAGTGTATTCATTACTTAAATGGACCCAAAGCAAAACAGGTTTTTTATATACAAATAAAGCATTGGTTTACTGTAAAATGATTTAGAAACGTTTTCACTCCTTTAAAAAGATGAACATATAATGTAAGTTTAAAACATTTCACCCTTGGTATATATAATTATAAAGCTTTTCAACTGTTCTTTCACATTGGATTATCAGCAGTGTCACACCTCATAAGCTGTTTTATTTGTTTACTGTTGATTATTGTGTTGCTTATATGTTTTAAAAAATTGAAAAAAAAAACAAAGCAAAAAACAGACTTACTGATTTTTTGAGGGTCAATGTCTTCAATTTAATTAACTCTCTAAGAGAGTATTTGTGATTTTTTTTTTTTTTTTTTTTTTTGAAAAAGATATTCTATTAAAATTGCAGGAGTAAGGATTAAAACGACGATGAAAATACCAAATTAAGAACAACCAGACTACTCTGAACAACAAGGGAGATAAAGTATTAGAGGAGTTTGCCCATGACGTAGCAGAGAGGAGAATGAGTGTCAGCTAGAACCACAATGGTGAAATAATCCTCTAAAGCAGAAACTGAAAAGGTAGCCAGGCCAAACAGAAGTCTGAAATAGAGAACAATCAGAAGAACCAAGCAATTCATCAAACCAACCCAAAACGCAAGTCGAGTTTAATCCACCAAGACAAGACTACACTGGCGCAAGGACTCACACCAGCCTTGCTGGAACCCAAGAACCTCGCAGCAACTCCAGAGCACCAAAGAAGACAACAGCGCCAAGACCACAGCTAGGGATGTTGTTGTGGGTTAAAATACCCAGCCCACACCTATTATATTAAAACCCAGCCCAAGAAAAACCCAACCCAAAAAAAACCTAATATTTTTCTAATGTTTCGTTGGGTATTTTAGCCCACATATAAAACTAAGGTGTGGGCATGGCAGCCCAAAAATATTCACAAATCTTAAACGACGTCATTTTGACGCTAAATTTGAAACCAACAAATTACTTATTGAACAAAAACAATCTGCACATTCGAATTCTTAATCTTGAACACTTAATATTCACCAATTCTTTCATGAAAAATATTTGAATACACGATGAGCTTGAAGTAGATACAGAGAGGCTTACTACATCTGCAATCAAAGCGCTCTAATGGTTAACTTGTTCTTGTTCATCCTCCTCGTCATGCCTGTCAAGATCTTCTTGCTCCACTAAGCTGTTAACAGAGTGCTACATATTATTAAAACGATGGGATACAAATATATAAAGCAAAACGTAAGATCTTCTTCATTAAAATCACACCTGAGTTACTTGCAATCTTTGTAAGATCTTCATCTTCATCATCAAAATTGTCTTCAATATCACCTAAGTTTGAATTGAAAATATACATTAGTTGAATAAATATATGTTACTGCAGATGCAAATTCAACAAATTCACAACAATGATACTTTAGAAACTTTACCTTCAAATTCAGCAAAACCACGTAACCAGTTACGTGTGCAAATCAATGCCTGTACATTTTTAGGAAGAAGGCGGTTCCTGTATAGATTTAAAACTCTACCTCCAACACTAAAAGCTGATTCTGATGCCACAGTGGTAATTGGAATACTGAGCAAGTCACATGCAAGAGAAGCTAGATCACCATGGCGATGTCCGTTAGTTTTCCAGTAGTTTAAAACTTCTATATCAGTGAAAGACCTCATCTCTAGCCTAGGTTCATCCAAATACAGATCCAAACTTGTCTTTGTCTTGTCTGAGCCAAGTTGGACACTTCTCTCAAGCTCAAAGAGATCCTATAACAACGACAAACCATAGAGATTCAATATTATGTCCGAATATAAGAACGACAAGTATTTGAGTATTAACAAGAATCTAAGAATGACAAGTATTTGATTAATGACAAGAATCTAAGAATGAACTTACAGAATCCATATCATCTTCCAATGGTGATTCAGTGAGAAGTTCAAGTGGACTTGGTGCTATTGTAATGGTTGAAGAAGTCCAAGGCTTGGTCTTATATTCTTCATAAAGAAGCTTCAAATTATTAGTCACAACTTCAACATTTGCTTCAGAAGTTCTAGGATCCAGTTTGTCATAAGCTGATTTAAGTATTAGAGTTTCGACGAAGCTTTGTTTCTCTCTTTTCGTTTGGACGAAACTTCGTTTCTCTCTCTCACGTTCCTTCTCTTCTGCTTCTCTTTTGAGATTTTGAGAGATGGGTTTTGGATCACCGAGGAAGATATGAAGTGGGTTTGTTGAAATTGAAGAGGAAGTCAGAATTTCGATGAGAAATTGGCAAATTTCTTAAGATTGATTTTGGCTGAGAAAGATTCAGATCGTGGTTTTGATTTACAGATGTTCAGAATCGTGTTTTTGCAGAGAAATAAAATTATCAAAAACGACTGTGTTTTATACTTGCTGTTATAATTTACAAACAAAAAAATACCCATGGATAACCCAATGTTAACCTAATATTAGCCCACGTAAACTTATAGATAAAAATACCCACCTATTTTAAACCCAGTTTTTAGTTATAGGGTAAACAAACCCCACCAGACTTTATGGGTATGGGTAAACCCATCTTTAATTACCCACGAAAACATCCCTAACCACAGCGAAACTAGCAAACTAAAGGGCCCAAACCAGCACAAACCTGACACCACTGAGAGAGGAAGAGCCGGCTAAGCTCTCTAAAGAAGCAGAGAGGGGGTAGGAAGCACTTCCCAAAGAGACAGAACCAAGAACTTCACTCCTCCAACTCACACACAGGTTGAGACCAGATCTGCACAAGAGTCTTGAACCCGCGGTGAATGAGAGCATGGGTTGAGGAAGCGAAAGACAGGGAGCTTCGGAACAGCAAGGCAGGAGAAGAGAAAGAAAACCTAAACTGCAACTAGACTCGGATCCTGAAACCCACAAACCGCAGCAAACTGGAACCCAAGAGATGCACAGAGGAAGAGGAAGAATCACCTAGTTGGGGAGAAGAAGCCGCAGAACCTTGACCACACACAACAACAACCAACACGAGCGACCAGAAAACACAGGAGACGAGACCAGAAGAACATAAACAGAGAAACACACTAACCCGACGCGGAGAGCTAGAGACTTAGAAAAAGGGGAAAACTCAGCAGCGGCGAAGCTCGAGCAAGCTACACAGAGAGACGACCAAGAGGCAGAGAGAGGAGAGGGGATCACAGCGTAGATCTGAGAGCCGTCCTCTAGCACAACAGAAGAAGAGACTGATCAAGCCCACCTAACATCCACCACGAAGAAGAAACCAGCGCAGGAACTAGCCAGAGAAGATCGATGGCGAAGCACTACCGAAGAGCAATAGAGGGAGCAGGAGCTCCGAAACTACCCCAGAGACACCGTCCTCTGGAATCTAACAGAGGGAGAGAAGCGGGCTAACCTAGAGCAAAAGACAGACAAATGCCAGCGACAAAACTCCACCACAGAGCAACCAAAACCCAGATCTGAGACTCACACCAAAAAAACCTCCAAGAAGAAGTTGCCGAGGGAGAATAAACAGCAGAGAAGGACCCTTTTCCGACGGAGGTGAGAACCACCGCACGCCGGAAAGAGAGATCGGAAAACTGAAGAGGTGAGGCGGCTAGGGTTGGCGAGAGAGAAAAGAGGCAACGATTGGGCCGATTTGTGATTTTGTTATTCTTGAAATTGTAATTGATTTTGATTCACTATCAGGTATGACATAAATTCAAATAAAATTAAATGAACTCATTATAAAAAATACAAAATAGACATATCCACAGCTACTCACTTAATATATAATAAATTTTGTTTACAAATATTATTTATTATTAGATGTAAATGTATATTACTGGAATTATAATTTTTCCTTGGAAAGCACATCAATTAATTTTCTAATTATAAATTTACTAACCAACCAAGTTGAATAGTAGAGTCTAGAGCTTAATGTGTTAAGATATCACAGATAATATATAAATCGAGATACACGATCGACTATAAATAAATGTGTATACATAACAAAATAGTGATTGAATAAGAAAAAATAAAAATATATTCGAAGAAAAAAAGGAGAAATAAAAAAAAGAAGATATATAAATTCGAGAATAATATAAATTCAACATAAATAAATATATAGTATGTAAATTTATAAAAAAATTTAAAATTACAAGTGAAATAATATATTGATACACAAATATAAAATTATATCATTAATATATTTAAAATAAAATAGTATATTAAAATTTAAATATAAAATAAATAATAAAATATAAATTCGTGTGTATACACGAATCATCACCTAGTGCTTATAAAGATGCTGAACGAGACTTATAGCTATTAGTAACGTAAGAGCTAGACATATAGTGCATATATAATTATATATATATCAAAGCATGCGAGCAATAAATTTATCGAGTTGAAATTATTCGATCTCCAAGTTCTTAAATAAACCCAATGAGCGAAGTAATCTTTGGGAGAAGACTGAAAATTTTTGTGTCTATAATAATTAATCAAAAGTAAAGAACTTTATGCCACAAAATATGATTAGTCATCTTCATAACTCAGGTACCGTATTTTTTTGTGAAAACTCGAAGGAATAAAGAGGTGAAGTTACATTGTTGTGTGAAGTTGTTGTTTTCACTTGTATAAGAGGAGCCATTAAAGAAGTGAAGAACCGTGTTGATAGTGCTGATAACCAAATTAACCGAATCGGTTTTAGATGAGCGTAATTCTAAAATAAAACGCGAGATTTTTCTTTCTTTTTTTCCATCGAGAGAAAACCCTAAACGGATTCGAGAAAATCAGCCATCAGAATTTATATTCCACGACGAGGTTTCTCGATTTTCGTCTACTTTTTTCGTGCCAATTCGCAATTTCCTTCAGCTTCACTCAATTCTTTTTTTTAACGATTGATTATCTAAAATTTTGTAGGGAGATTTTAATCGATTTCGTGGAAGAGTAAATGGATGAAGACGGAGAGAAGCGTGTTTGTGCTGAAAGATTGGGTGATAGACTGAGCAGCTTGCCAGATTCATTAAGATTCGAGATACTCTTGAATCTCTCCACAAAAGATGCGGTAAAGACAAGTGTTCTATCGAGCAGATGGAGAAATCTCTGGCGATTCGTACCTGGTTTGGACTTGAATTTTAAAGATTTCCCGGATCGAAATGTTTTTGTGAGTTTCATCGACACATTTCTGGGTTTCACCAGCGATTCGTGCATATATAATTTCAAGCTAAGGTACGATTGGAGCGAGAATGTGATAGGTTGAAGGTTCCCTTGGCCTTCATGAGAAAGAAGCAAGGTCAAGAGGAAGGAAGGCTCGAGAGTTGAAGGAAGTAGAAAGTGGCTAAAGGAGAATGAAGACAGGGGAAGCCTCTTTGTGAGAGAGAAGTTTCAATATTATTAATAATGTGATGTCGTTTTACTGTTGCAACGAATGTATAAACAGTGACCCCGTTTTTAGGGTTTATTATCTTATGAAAGATCAAACATTTAATCAACTTCTTTCCTTATTTTCTCTTCTTCTTTTATCTCTTAATCTATTTTTATTTCCGAGATATCATACAACATCTTGGTAAGGTTCAGTCTTATCAACTGGTGTTTTCATTGAGAGAGCCAAGTGAGAAAAATGACGATTCCGACGACGACCAACACAGATCCTAGATCTGCATCATCCGAACTCGAGATGAACGTTCCTGAGACCCCAGCTCCAGCTTTAACCACGGAACAACACCTTGAGAAGCATGACAAGGAGATGATGTGGATGAAGCATGCGTTAGGCGAAATCCTGAGGAAGTTGGAGAACGTCGCTCCCGGAGTTTCTCCGATAGGGTTTGCTAGCCCCATCTCGGCCGCAACTGCGCAAACAGCCCCCTTTACGCCTGAATCTCGCCCAGAACAGAACCGAGGAGAAGGGATCTTACCCAGACCCAACGACGAGCTGAGGTTGCGACCCCCTGAAGGGTTTCCTTTACCGACGGCGCGTGAGCTGCGAGTGGAGTGACCCCAAGCTCCCATGGAGGTTCCGTCCAAACGAGTGGAGTTACTGGCGTTCAAAGGACATAACCCTGAGGATTGGCTGTTCCAGATCGAAAAATGCTTCAACTTGAACAGGGTTTCCAAGTCCGAAAAGCTAGATCTCGCTGTTACTTGTCTCACGGGAGCTGCGGTGACGTGGTGGAGGGGTGCACAGGAGGGAGAGCAAATAGTGCACTAGAAGGACTTCAAAGATAAGTTCAAGATCAGGTTTAAACAAAACAGAGGGTGTTCCTCCGTTGATCATCTGTTTTGCATCACTCAGAAAGGGAGTGTGGAAGAGTTTCGTGAACGCTTTGAAGCTCCGGCGGTGGAGTTGCCCCACGTTCCGGATGATGTGCTTGAATCAGCATTTCTGAGGGGACTCAAGAAAATTTTGCGAGAGCAAGTGGTGCGTTGTAGACCGGTGAACATGGCAGACATCGTGGACATAGCCAAACTGATTGAGTCTCAGGAAGGAGATCACTCGAGCTATTTCAATCGCAATATCTCCAACACTATGAACAAGAGTTCGGGGTTTGGTATAACAAAGACATCAAGAAGGCAGGGTCGAGCAACGTCACTCGTGCACTGGTGCCATGTTGATATTGCAGTGACACATGGGTTCCAGGCCATTGTTGCAAACAAAAGCTCAAATGTTTGGAGTTGGCAGAAGGAGAGGCCAACGAGAACGTAGAAGAGGAGGAAGTGACTGAGCAAGAGCAAGCTGAACTAGAAGGAGGGCTGCAAGAACTAGTGACACTCTCCCTTCAAGCCATGGCAGGCTTAACTAACACTTGCTCGATGCGCATGAGAGGCAGGATTGGTCAGAAGGAAGTCATCATACTCATTGATTCGGGAGCCACAAGTAACTCCATACAAGGCTCACTGGTTCAAGAGTTGGGATTACTTCAGACTGATACACGCAAGTTTGGAGTGCGAGTAGGAGATGACCAAATCATCAATGGCAAGGGCCGTTGCTCGGGAGTATCACTTGACATTCAAGGAGTGGAAATAGTCGAAGATTTCCTCATGTTTGAGCTAGGGGCCAAGGATGTGGTACTCGGGTATTCGTGGCTGGCATCGCTGGGAGATACACGGGTTAACTGGTGGAAAAGCACGTTGAGTTGGAAGATCGGAGACCATTGGGTAGCAATTGCGGGTGATCCTGATTTGAGTAGGGTGCAGATTTCACTAAAATCTATGGAGAAGGTGATTAAACAAGGCTGTGTGGCTTATCTGCTCGAGTTGACTTCCCTATTTGAAGGCACCGAGCAACCTGTGGGAGTAACACCAGCAGTTCAAAGGGTCTTGGAGGAGTATCAGGAGGTGTTCCAGATGCCAAAGGGGTTACCACCTGTACGAAACAGAGAGCACGCGATAAATCTGCAGGAAGGCATAGGTCCAGTGAATATTAGGCCCTATAGATACTCCTATACTCAAAAGAACGAGATCGAGAAGCTGATAAGGGAGATGTTGGAGGCTCAGATCATCAGACCGAGCATTAGCATGTACTCCAGCCCGGTTCTCTTGGTCAAGAAAAAGGACGGGGGGTGGCGATTTTGCGTCGACTACCGTGCTCTCAATAAGGTGACGATTCCAGACCGTTATCCTATTCTGGTGATCGAGGAGCTGCTGGATGAGCTAAATGGTGTCATGGTGTTCTCAAAACTGGATCTCAAGTCCGGATATCACCAAATCCGGATGAAGTGCAGCGACGTGGAGAAGACTGCCTTCAATACTCACCAAGGACACTACGAGTTCTTGGTGATGACTTT